TTCCTTCCTTCCTTCCTTCCTTCCTTCCTTCCTTCCTTCCTTCCTTCCTTCCTTCCCTTTCTTTTTGAGACAGGTTTCTTCCTAAGTAGTTTGTAGAGGAATTATAATTCAGAACATGGCAGTTTTGGCAAGAGATCACATCCAAAGACTTTTTAGGTCTGTGTGATTGGGGTGGAATACAAACACACTAATCCAGGAGACAAAGGCATGAAGATCTGAGTTCAAGGCCAGCCTGGTTTAGAGCAAGTTTCAGGCAAAGAAAAGCATAGGTCCTGGTATGGTGGTACACACCTTCAGTTCCAAACAATGAAGGTAAAGCTAGTTTATAGAAGGAAGCACCCATGTTTGAAAACAATGTCTAATTGAGTGACAGAAAAAGTGACGAATCAGAAAGATTTGACAGAATAGGATACGCCCAACTTTCATGAGAACAGGGAGGAAAGGGAAGCTACTTAAGGGAGCAACACAGAGAATGAGAGAGAGAAGGCAGTTTTACCAGGAGATTTTATAGAAAGAAAGAGATTAAATGAGAGAACAAGCTAGACACAAGGGAAGGCAGAGAATGAGTCAGAGAATGAGAAGGAGCCAGATTGAAAAAGATTGCTGGAGTTAGTTTGAGGCCAAGCCGAGCAATTCAGAGGCCAGACTGAATAAGTTAGCTGGGAGAGGAGTTTGAGCCAGAACAGCTGAGTTGAACCAGCCAGCCCAGAGCTCAGTAATAAGAAAGGGTGAGCTTACTAAGGCCTAAGTCTCAGAGGCTGAAAACATTCCAGGCCTAGGTTAGATTGTGTGGAGGCTAGAAGCTTCCAGAACTAGGCCTAGGTTAGCAGGTAGAGGCAGTAATCCTCTGAGACAACAGCTGAAAAAGGCTAATAAAAGTTCCTTTTACAGTTGCTCAAGCTGACCTCCAATGCTGGCCTCCAATTCACTTGCCTCTTGTCTCATGCTCCAGAGGCTGGGAGTGCAGTGGCAAGCTACCATGTTCTCTGATAAAATAAATTTCAAATGACAGTATAAAATATTTCCATTGCCAAACAGATGGAGGCTTTTGTAGATTTTTTTTTAAAATAGAATTTTCCAAAAATGTAAAGGATCTTAAAGTTTTCATTCACATCATTGGAGCAAAGCTCTGACGAGAATTTGCATATTTATATGGGGTGACTGGTGCAGTAGTATTAACTGAACAGCAGCCTAGGAAATGTATAAAAATGAGAACAAACATAATCTACACACAGCACTGAGGATTAATAAAGTTTGTGGCTCTGTAGCCAGTGGCTCTGGCTTAGCCAGCAACTTCCAGCAGGTAGAAATGTTGGCCAAGTTGACTACAGCTTGGTGGCTCTCAGGGAGACAGCAATGAGATCTGTGTGCTAATACAAAAGAATCATCATATGTTTTTTACGCTTTTCCTTTAAGAAGGAATCATAAACCGATCTCCACTGTCCATCAGTTCCCTTAGGCAACATTGATTGGGATCTGTGAAAGTTGGTGTTGAGAGGACAGATGCTAAGTAGGAGTGATTATCATCACTCTTACCATCATCAAGGAATGAAGGAATGAACACTCCTCTGCAGTCTAGAAGAGGAGGTAATTTTAACACAGATTATTATGTAAAAACTACATAAGAGAGATCAAGTGCTTTGGAGTCCATGAAGACAAAGCAATGGTTTCTTACTGACCATGGAGGCACTACTGGAGGACAAGCATTTGTTCAGGAGCTAGTTGATCTGAATGTGTAATGAGGAGTTAGCATAACAGGCAAAGAAAACAGTGAGAGCCAAGACCCTGAGATAGAACACTGTCTGCAAACAGGACTGTCTGCAAAGCGGTTTGGATTGGCCAGATCACACGGTATCAGGTACTAGGTATGAGGACAAGGGTGGGAAGTGGACTGTTGATAGCTAGTTTTTAATTCCCTTTTCTGTTTCTCCATATGTAACTCTGACAAAGATAATGAAGACTTGTCCCAGATCTTCTTGCTCATTGCTGAGTTTTCCAGGTTTGCCTGCTGCTTGCCTAGAGAACTCCACACAGAGAGGTCCAACTCTGTAAAAAGATATCAAATTTGGTCCCAGGGAACAATACCAGGAAGAAAACTTTCAGCTCTGTCCTGCTTCTGGTCTTGTGAAAACAAATGATAGTCCCAGACTCCCTCTTAGCTTATCAGGTAGAACCAGGAAACCCTGGGAAAGAAAAAGCTGGAGTCTGAAGGGCTCTTGTCTCAGGGAGAGAAAAACTGTCACCTTCTATCCTGTCACCTTCAACCAGGGTCAGCTTGGCCTATGATTGCTGGAGTGACCTTTTCATGACCCTAATGAGACTATGTAACTCCCACCTTAAATATATTCCACGGTCTCCTTTGCCCCCGGTGGAGTGTTTGATTTCTTATATATATATTTTTAAGTTTCTTTATTTACTGCATTGACATTTTGCCTGCATGTATGTGAGGGTATCAGATCTTGGAGTTACAGACAGTTGTGAGTTACCATGTGGATGCTGGGAATTGAACCCAGGTCCTCTGGAAGAGCAGACAGTGCTCCAGACCACTGAGCAGTCTCTCCAGCCCTTCAACTTCTTTATTATGGCATTTAGATGCCTTCTTTGCTGACCTGGTAGCACCGCAGGAGTTTCCAGGAAGTATACGAAAATGAAGCAGGATCAGATCTGGGGTCTTGAGTTGAGACTGCTGCTGTGTGAATCTCAGTTTTTCCTCTGGGTCGTCAGTTTACAATTTTCTACCTTAGTTACCTTTTCTTGGCTCTGGGCCATCAATGGACAGTTTCCTACTCACTGACCATTTCTCAGCTCCAGATCACTGTTCAGGTGGGTGCTATGCCTCACATCCCTACATCCCAGCTCAACATCCTGCATCTAGTAAGCAGTAAGAAAGATTCATGACACATGTCAGTCAGTAAACTCACAGGACCCGCAAGGCCCACCATTACTGGCCTTGCAGGCCTGTTATTCCTCTGGGAATATCTTCTTGGTATCTATTTTCAGAAGGAGACAAGGTGTTGTGTAGACATGCTCTGCGCTCTCCAGGCTCCTGTGTGCACCAGCTTCTCGTTGGTCCAGGGTCCTCTCCCAAGTTCTTTGTTCAGGGTGAGCCCCAAGCCCTTTGCTCAAGTGTCTGCTTGATGCTGGCTGCTGGATGAAAACCTCTCTTGTTCCACACAGCACAATGTTGGCATTATAGCCTGGGTCTAGGGAAGTGACACATGCTGCTGGTCCACCCTGGGCCCCAGCAAGCAGACAGCAATCTGGT